GATTTGTCATCGGATGAACAACGGAGACTAAACATTAGCCTCGACGATGTTAAGGTGAGGGGAAACCGAGAGACACAACCACGGACTTCAGCTAGAAGTAAAGGTAAGGCTGACTATGGTTTTTAAATGTTAAAAATAAGTATTTGATAACTTTGGCCTAAAATATTTTTATTTCTCATCAAATTGATGGACAACCTTCGATTAAAGCAGCAGAATTTAAAGTTTGAAAAATAACTGACATTTTATCCTGAAGGTCCAAATTAAATTAGTGCTGCTCTCATCTCTAGACTTGAATGTGTTTACAGTAAATATGAATTTCTTAGACACAGGAAGGTGTTCTGTCCATCTGTATAAAGAATCGTTCTTTGTTGAACAAATGTGTTCCTGTGGATGTTGGTGTGAGTGGAACTGATGGAGGAACGTTGTTGGATGTGAAGATATGCAGAATCGTTTTTCAATAAAATGTTTTGTTTCTGTGAGGAATAGTCGTCCAGTTTGTGTTTACACAGATGTTTGAATGTAACCTGTGGAAAAATCACCTTTTCACTTTTCATTTTAATTTTATTTATTTATTACTCCACTTGGAAAGTCACTAAAATAACACGATGTCATGGGAACAAACAGTAGCTCTGTCTCCGTGTCCAAACCTGTGGCTCACGTTACCAGCAGTGTCCCCCGTGAGTTCTGACTTTAGAACAAGAACCACAGCAGACCTGAGAGGAGATCTTCACAGAGGAGCTGAAGAACAGACGCCGAGCATCCTGGGAAAATAACTACAAACGCGTGACTGAAAAAAATGCCCCGACTCCAGAGGAACCACAGACCTGAGACCCTGAACTGATGAAACAGTTCTGATCACCAAAAGTGCCGTCGGTTCCACACTGACTGTTCCATCTCCACTGCACCACTGAACTGTCGGCACAGGGTTGAACTCCCCCACCCTCACCCCCCTCCCACCTCTACCTCCCACTCATAACATGTTTCTGCTCCTCATCGTCCTCACACAGCCTTGACCTCTGTCTGTCAGCCAATCACAGCCCTCCATCCTGACTCTTCTGACCTCTGCCTGACCTTGACCCTGTCATCATGAACAGCGTGACGGAGCACAGACGGAGAAGGACTATTTCTGGACGGTTCCTCGAGATGTTCCTCCACCGACCATATAAGGAACTAAGTCTGGAATCTGAAGTTTTAAATGTGGAATTATTGGAACGCCGTGTGAAGAATGTCAGACGTTCCTGTGGTCGACCACATCAAACCAGAAACATTCGACAGAGTTGGACTTTGATCCTTCACAGGTTTTTACAGACACAGCAGTTTGACTTTAATCAGAGCAAATCAAAGGTCAGGTTCACAGACCGTGTCGGTCGGTGAGGTTCACCACCCCTGGCCCCCCCACCTGTGAGGGGCAGATAAACAGGAACTCTAATCAGGTTCTTCTGAGATAATCCTCCAGATTAAGAAAAAAAAACTTTTTTACTTTTTTTTTTGTTGTTGTCAGAATGTCCCACAGTGCCACACGGTGGTTGGAGAATGTTACTGATGTACACACCTCTCACTGTGTCATTGATGTTCCTGTTTAATGAGCCCCCCCCCCACACACACACACACGGGTCCCAGTTGTACCTTTGACTGGATCCTTTAGAACTCTCCAGAACTGTTGCTGTCAGTCACTGAGGTTGATTGACAGCTGCCAGTCCTGGCACTGATCCTCTGTAAACACTGATGAGCTGGAGGATGCTGGGAAAAACCCCAAATAGCCCTGAGTCCCTGAGCTCAGGATGAAGGTCTCACGAACGTCCCCGTCCCACGCACGCAGACACGCCAGAGAAAGACGGCGTCTGGAACACCCGGTGGTCGGACGCCGGTGGAATCCTCTTTCCTCCAGTAATCCGACGACTTTTCCTGCCTGTCAGACATGCAACCAGTGAAGTAGAGACCAGTGAAGACCAGTGAAGACCAGTGAAGTAGAGACCAGTGAAGACCAGTGAAGACCAGTGAAGTAGAGACCAGTGAAGACCAGTGAGGTAGAGACCAGTGAAGTAGAGACCAGTGACGAGCCGACACCCAGGACCAGTGGAGAACAAGTTGTTCCTCAGGAGAACCCTGGTCCACGACCACTGCACAGATGAAGTACCAACACCAGAACAGTGGAACACATTCTTACCTCCTATCACCTCTAACTGCAGTACCGAGGTGCACCACCGGTGGTGTGACTTCACAGATTACAACGGCTGTGGCTGTAGAAACAGTAAAA